TTAATTGTACCTCCACTATTCTGAGTGCTGTCTGCTCCACCTCGAGCTCCGACAATAGCGTCTAAATAACAATCAGAACTAAGGACAACATTTACAAAAAATATACAGCAGCACTTACCACCAAAAACGTAGTAACATTTTTCGGTGAATGTCAACTTGCTCACAACGTGTCTAATAAGGCCTGTCCTGAGAAGCTCAGCTGCATACTGTCGCGCTGCTTTTCTGTCACTTAAGTCTTCCACATGCTCCAGTAACCAGTCGACGAGGTCGCGACCTTGATTAGAATGTTGTTTTTGCATGTAAAAAAATCGAATACAATGAAAGAAGGTTGAAGAGCTAAAGCAATCACGCTACCTATGAAAGACATGGGGACTAATATCTTCAACCACTTTCTGTTCTTTACTTGTAAACCCGAATCCGGTTTGGCAAGGGCTCTCAATATTATCACAGGATCCATGGTCACAGATAGCCGCTGCGTTGCTTTATGCTCTGAAAATGCAATTACAGAATAATTGAATTACTGATGTAAAGTAATAAAATGTATGTCACCATTTTGTTCATTTTCTCGACGCCGTTCCAGTTCTTCAATATTAACTTGCGGTAAGCCGTGACGACGCTGTTCGTAAAGGACTCTTTCCTAAAAAGCTCAGACTTATCCGATTGAAATTAACTCATAGCTGACAAAGAGATAGAGCCAGTAATTTTTTTCCAATCTGATGCTTCAATCTGCATGATATCTTTACCTCCTCATCATCCGTTTCTCTCTCGGTGCCTATCGTGTTCTCGTCGAATTGTGTAGTATCGTCAGGTATCCCCCTCTCACGATATACACGCTGCCGTTCAGCGCACTGACTGAAATGACACGCAGTTTTGTGCTGATGGTGGAAAGAAAAGAGCTAGCTTAAACTTATGACCAAATTTCAGACTAATTCGCAGAATGACAATTGATCTAATTAGAGTTACTGCAAAATAGATTTGATGGGCTTACGGTGATATATGGTAAA